CTGGAATTCCAGAATGTATATTTTCTACTCCAGTGTAGTTTTTGGTAACAAGAAAGCTCTTTCTTCTCTTTTGGGAGTGAATGTGTTCAGTACAAAAAGCAATTATTTTTTAGTTTATTTATAAGTTTATCAATTTTCCCAGTGTTGCTGTGAGTTATTAATACACTATCTGAAAGATTTAATTTTTTTCCCCAGTGGTCAGCATTCAATGTAACTGTCTGGAAATGTATCTGGATTTCATTTTGTGCAGTTATGATATTGGTTTACTTATTTTCTTTACCAAGCAGACACTCAGCACCTAACTCATAGTGCAGGGTGTAGCTTTACGACCAGGTGATATTTATTACTCTGGTAAGCTATTTAAAAAAAGAACCCCAAACTCTAACTTGCATGAAAATGAACATATTCTCATGTAAATTCCTAAAGAGGAATTAACAAGTATGAAAAAATATTGCTCTCTTCACCAAAGTTTGCCCAAAGGCAAAGGGAAGCAGCTGAATTACTGGATAATATTAATATCTTGGTTTTACTGTGAAACAGATGTACATTGCCAGATCTTTTTCCTGTGGGGAAAAAAAAGAACACAAAACAACAACAATCACACTGCCCCTTCCCCAGCCCAAACTTAGCATTTTATATATGTTAGATATAATAAATAAATAAACTGTGAATGTTTTTAAACTTCAGCTAGCAACTTTGTCATCAATTCTTGTGAGATGAGAATCAGGCCTTGTATTTAATAAGAGATTCACTGTTATTTAATTACATGAATGTGGTCAGAAAACAGCCTTTCTGACCAGAACGTGGAAATAGGATTGTGATGCTGAATATATGGTTTTGTTGCAAGCAGTGTTTTTTCTGTTAACACTGTTGACCCTGAGCCCTAATTTTGTAGACATGTAACTTGATTGCTAAAAATAGGAAAAAATAGGCTTATGTATGTAATTTATTTTAAAATGTTTTGGTCTTTTTTTTTGGGTTTTGGAGGAGAGATAGATATTTGGAGAGGGGGAAATCTGGATCGCAGTGCAAAGTATTTACTAACGCTAGTTGCTTTTGTAGACTTTTAATTTCCAAATAAATTTGAAAAGTGGTTAGTTTGTAGCATTGGACTTATTTCATTGTTCTGTTGTTCCTGGCAGTGTTTCGAGCATTATCATTCCAAATTCCAAGGAGAAGGAGGAGAATTACTGCTGGTGATTGCCATCTTACTGCCTCTGCAAACCTGGGTGAGTGTGCTTGCTCCATGAGGAGACTGTGTATGAGGAACCTTTTGCTTGTAGAGCATTCTAGTAGAGATGTGCTGCATGGCAGCTGTAAGAATAGCTTCAAAACTGCTGTCTGAGTGGTCTTGTTTCACTCTTGTTTTCCTTCCCATGCCAGCATCACCACTGCTGGAGCTCTCTAGAGCAGAGCTGCAGGATGACCCACAGTGTCTCTGCCTCCAGTGTTCATTGTTGCCCCTCCATGGTAGAACTCAGAACTCGTTAATCAGTTTGAGGTGCCTCAGCAAAGCTGGCATACCTCCTAAAATCTGGCCGTACAACTGAGCCTATGCCTTTCCATATGAATGGCTCCTTCAAAGCCAGTAGGACCGCTCAGAGGGGCTGAAACTCAGCATGTGGGTCAGCATTGTTAGTGTATATCTTCCCCTTTCGGAAAGGGCTCTATTGATTTGTATTTTGAAATGCTGTGGAAGAGAAGCCCCTCCCACGCTAGAGCCACCCACAAAAATATTCCAGATAGTGAAGACAGCAGATCATGTCTGTCATGCTATCCTTGTACTACCCAGACATCTGTGAAAATTTCATGCTTGTGTGAGCAGATTCTCCAAAGGGCTGAATTTGGCTGTACGTCTTTGAGGGAGTACTTCCATTTTCCCTGCTGTGCCTGCCTGTTATATGCTTTTAATTGTCCTTGGTACTTGGGGGAAAAAAAAGGCACAAATTAAATAAAATGGGTAAACAAGAGGAGAGGGCAAGCTTAAACTGACAAAAACCCAAAAAAAATCAGACTAGCTGTAAACCTGGAAACACTGTTCCCAACTCCTAGTGTGTGCAGGAAATGCAGCACATATGGCACATGGAATCACCTGGAGCTAGGCCTCTTTGTTGCACCTTGGCATAGGAGAGCAGGAACAAAGCAGGGGTGCAGATTTTAACCCTCAGTTGCCTGGTGTTTGGCAAGGATCAGCTTAAGCCTGTTCTTGTACTTGGTTTCCAGTTCACAAATATGTGATGTTAATAATAGATCATTACTGAATGATCTCCTTTGTACTTAAATGTGGATACCGGTAGATTTTTGTTGGTTAAAAAGTTTCAATATAATTCTTTCTAGTCTGTAAGAAATACGTGTGGACGTAATAGTATCCTTTCTTATAGAAAAGTTGAATTTTGTCATAATGACATTTCATTTACGATACTCCTTGCAAAAGCTTTTTCTGATATTATGCTTTTAAGTGAGCTTCTCTGTGTTCCTTACAATCATTAATGAATCAGACTTTAGATAAAGACAGTGTAGGTATGGCAGCATATCATTATACAGGGGAGTAGAGTGAAGCATGAGGATGTAAATATTTGTTACATCTTGCATGATGTTGAGGAAAAGATTGCTCTAAGAGTAGGATGATGGTTTTTACTGTTCATTGTGTACTTATCATAAAAAAAAAATCTTTGAAAAATTCAAACCTTTCCTAAGGCATTGGCAAACATTGGCAAAAATATTTGTCTGGGAAAAAAATTCAAGCAAAATGAAAAAAAAATCAGAACATCTAATATTGAGTATTCAGTCTCATTTTTTTGTTTGTTTGGTTGGTTTTGTTTTGTTTTCTTAAAAATGTTTCTTCTTTGGTTTGTTTTTTTTTGTGTGTGTGTGTGTTTTTGATTTTTTGTTTGGTTGGTTAGTTTGGGTTTGGGATTTTTTTTTGGTATGGCATTTTAAATTTATTTGGAAAAAGAAATATAAAAATGTTCAGAAGGATAGAAAAATATTTGCAGATTGATGCCAATCTATGGGATATTTTTATACAAGAGATCCTCCTCAAAACCCCAAAAGCTGCTACTTCTACCTCCTTTCCTACTCTAGCAATTTGTTTCATTTGTTCAGCTTACTCTACTACAGATCATTGTGATACCTCTCAGCATGTGTCCTGAGTGTTACAGTAATGCACATGCACCTCTGGTCAGTGTGTCTGTCAAGACTTACATGTTTTTCTGTATTTCATGCACTTCTAGAACAAAATGGGTATTAATTCACAGATTGTTATACATCAAGCATTGCAGAGCAAAACAATTTTTACTCTTTTTTTTTTTTTTTCAGGGGCATCATCACTATCCCAGGCTGATATTGCACAAGTATGCGACTAACTGGAATCTTATATGTTGAAATAGAAAAGTGCAAAATTTCAAATTTATGGGTATAATTATATGTATCTTTAGAAACTGAAATAAGCGTTTGCAGAAATTTTCAAAATAGACCTTGAAGGAGGAACCAAAAATGTCCAGCAAAGTGTATATATTCAGATGTTTTAAGAAAGTATTTTATATTTAAAAGACAACAATTCTTTCGAAGCCTAGAAAAGGGGGCAGCTCTTACTTAGTGGGACTTTGCTTCTGCACTGGCATTTTCTGTTTAATGAAATTTCTGAAATATAATGGGGTAATCACTGTAATATTTATGTGAATACACAACTAAACACAAGTTTATGTCTTACATTTTTTAAAAAGAAGTGGACTAGGAACATAGTGTAGCCTAGGCTACATTAATTGTAAGAAAAACAGTGTGTGTATTCAGCTGAGACAAGGAAAGCCAGAAAGTTTTGGCTGTAATTAACAGTTTTTGGGGAGAAGAACTCTATTTCTGAAAACAACTTCTTTGCAGTAGTTGAAATTTGATTACTCCAAATTATCACATTATCATATTGTTGCTACAGTCTGTTTTCAAAAACATAGCTTTAGTACAATGCAACCGATTTCAAAGTTACCAGGAAAGAAGCAAATTTAACTATAAGCATGTGAGTCAAGCTGTCTCTCCCTGTATGGAGTGATTTTAGCAGCCACAAGTTCTTCTGAGCTGGTCAGAATGCTTCAGCATGAAAGCTTCACAGCTGTTTTAGTCCTTCCTTTTCCTGAGCTTATATATGCTCTGACAATATGGGGGTTTTGGATCAAAGCTGAATTGCATTTGATTGCCTTCTGAGAACAAAAGAACTTGCATCTTGAAATTATACACAGTTGGATTTTCAGTGAAGGTGTTTCAGTGAAGACTCAAATTCTTGAGTCTGACCCTAACTTCTGTGGTCTCACTTTTGTGTCTGCACTGAGTTTGTTACCTGGTGCCCAGTGCTCCTCTCTTCATCAGAATAAAGTCACTACAATATCAGGATTGCATTCTATAGCATTCACCTTTTTTGCTTTTTGCTTTTATTACAATTAGAATTACATTTTGTAAATGTGTTGGGGACTGCCTAAATTAGGAAAGTAAGTTCTGAGTTGTGATATCTTAATGGAAAAAAAAGAAGTAAAGGACAACTAAATTCTTGAAATTTTCCTCCTGAAATCTCAGGAAGACTGGGGGAAAAGTTCTCAGAGAAGGCACTCTCTGAAGATGGCAAATGGGGGACAAATGTGTGACTTCAAATACCTGCAAATTCCTGACTGAGTGCTTTAGTTTTTATATGATAGAAGGTACAAGGAGTAGATTGCCATCATTAATGTTATTTTACAATTAGCATTTACTAAAGTGAAAATGTTGTAGCCAGCCTAAACTGTTTACTAAGTGGGCAGTTATTTTTTGGTTGTCTCAGTCTGCATTTGTTAGCACACACATTTATTTCTTGGCTAAAAAACCCACATGCATCTTCCAGTGTTAGAGACACATGAATGAAGCCACTGAGTGACTGAAGCCACTTCTGCTGAAGTAGCCAAAATTAAACATTTGATTTGTGAAAGAAGATAGAAGAACCTTTGATATCTCAAACTCTTCTGCTGTTCCCTAAGGCTTTTCACACCAGCAACTCATCTCAGCTGGAGAAAACAGCACTTGGGAGTCAAGAGAGGAAGAGTGTTCAGTGAAGAAATTCAGTGACAAGGGAAGAATTTCATTGGTGTTGGAAGGCAAGCACAGAAAAGTAAACACAGCCCACTGGACTATAACAGGTTAGTAAATACAAACGCTGTAACATTTCCATAGAGCTCTTTTCTCTAGAAGCAACTGTTATATGCAATGAATTGTGTTGTTTTATTATTTTCATAAAATTTTTGTAAGTTATATGCTTTTCTTCATTTGTAGTGTGCTTTACTCACGAAAGTTGTTTGAAGTTACTGAATAATAACACTGAGACACATCAAAGTTTCAGAAAAATGTGGAAAAGAGGTGTTACAATTTAGGTAAATCAGTCATTATCAAGGTGTTTTGGGATCTGCTGGTTTGGCTTCTCATGTGCTAAGTCTCCTGTAATGCGTTACCATATTCCTACCTCTCACAACAGTGCTGAGAATCCAGACACCTCTACCCCCACCGAACTTTACAGGAGGGAGAGAAAGGCTCATTATTAGCTTTTGTGAAGTGCAATGAGGTACTGATGAAATGATCTGTATCAGTCTGAATTGCCTTTGTTCATTACACATGGAGTGGTCCCTGAGCAGAGGAGAGGGAACATAAATGAAGTATTTATTTAATATCAAGGTGCTAAAATCTAGGCAGCACATTGTAAGTAAAACAAAGTAGGCCTTTGGGAATTGACATGCTAACATTTGTTCCTTTCAGCTTGTCTTTATTAACTTTCTGTTGCTTCTTTTCATTCATGCAAAATTGTCAACATATAAACACCTCTCTATTGACAAGATACACTAATGTCAGTAGTAAAAGAAGTGTTGACATGAAGGCTAAACTAATGTGGACAAGGATTTCTGAACTACCGTAAATTATTTTTTTCTGATTATTCATAGCTATGGGCTGACAGATAAATTCTACTCATTCGCAGACAGCAACTTTTAGTTTTTTTGCAAAGATGAGAGGAAAGGGTTGTATTTTGCTATCTGCTCTCTCTGTATTTGAAATATTTAATTGTAAGTCTCTTGTTTGAGAATTTCATAAAATGGAGAAAACCAGACCTGTTCCCCAAAGAAAAGGATCGTGCAGTTTCCTAGCATTGCCCTACTTGCCAAATTTCTTGTGACTATCTCTGTAGAAGTTGATATACAAGGATGAAAGAAGAAGGTGAGGTTAAAAGATTTATAATCCAAATAATGCCAGCACACTTACTTCCACCTATACCAGACTCTGTCATGCATTAATAACATCTTCTTGTAAAAAGTAGATCCAGACTTCTGTTCTGACACAGTTAACTTGCAGGACTGATAGGTTGATTGGGGGGTCAGTCAGGCTAACACACATTTATGCATACTGCTTTTATATATGATAAGAAATACAGTACTTATTTTTGCTTTTTCTGAAAGATGAAAAGAAATCTTTTTATTTATTTCTATTTTCTTTTAGCAACAAAATCTTAATTTGATTTTCTCAGTGTGGTTAGCTCACATGTAAGACTTTTGTACTTTCACTTTGTCTTTTTATTCTAGTGAAAAAAGTACTCATTTTAGCAAGGCCACTTACAATACTTGATCAAATGTGAATTGACAGAACAACCTACATCCTATTCCAGTTCCTTTTATTCTGTAGATTTTTGCCTATGCAACTTGCAGTAATTCCTATGAAGCTGTCACAATCTGTTCTATCAGAGTTACTTACAGATCCTGTTGTTCAGGGATCGTTGAGATGATAGATTGCTATGGTCTCTCTTGTTAATGTGTGCTTAGGGAGTCCTTCATTTACACAATAGACTTATTCAATTTTTGGTGAAATGTGATTATTACTCTTGCACGGAAGACACATGCTCAATCTAGATATGCCTTGCTTATTAAAGAAATTGTATAAAAATAGGATGTACCTCCACAAAATTCTGCTTTTAACCTTACAAACTAATTGCCTTTACCTTACCATTTGAAGGACTGACAATTTTGCACAGCATTGGACTGTTAGTAAGGGCTGGCAAGTAGTCCAGCTGCAACAGAGGCAGATTGAAGCACAACTGATGGCTCAGGATGACTGGAAATCATGGAAAGCTCACTGGAAAGTGTAATCCTCCTTTCACCAGCTCAGCTGTGCTCATTACATTCCTGGCTAGGTGGCAGAAGTGTGGTTAGAATGGTCCACTACTGCTTGTGAAGCTGTGTATGAGAAGATTTTAATATTTGAAGGTACCAGGCAGCTTGGACAATCATAGTCTAAATCTAACCGGTTTTATCCATAACATTTTTATTCAGCCCTTTTTAATGAAAATAGTGATGATTTTAAAACTTTTTCTTAATCAAGTGCACCTTTGATGCTGTTATCTTGGTTATAATGCCATTTTTTGGTAACTAATCTGTACTGCCACTGAGTAGTGGTGGTTTGAAGATCTAAAACTGAGGCAGAAAAACAGAGAAAAAATTCTAAGTATAATCCTGACAGTGTTTGTTTCTGTTGCATTTCCTCTGACTGGGCTGTCATGGCAGTAGGCTATACCTGCTTAAGTAGTAGCTTATAGGGTTGACCCTCTGCTTGAGTCAGAAGCCTCCTAGACTATGAGCATGTGGGAGAACATGAACTGAGGAATGCAGGGAGATCCTGGGAGCTGCTTTTTTCCTAAGATCAACAACTGATATCTGCCCTGCTGACTGCACCTCGTGCAGAATCTCTTATTTAGGCTTGTGCTCTCACTTGTACTTTTAGCTTCAACTGGGCATGTGAAACCACATACCTTAGAGAAAGAAACTAAATAAATGAATTGTATCATTCAATTTCAGGGGATTTATCCACCCTATCTTGTAATTTTTACTTACATGAATAATCTTTGTTTACACATTCTTAATTTGAATGGGATTACTTGCCTTAGCGATAATACAAGTATCAGGTACAGGATTAGTTCCTGTATTTGTCAGTGGTGTCAAAAGCAATGGAATATACAATAATTTGGTTACATTTTCAATTATAATCTGAAATTAAAGAGCTTTATTTTGGAGCTGTTGCTCTGAATAGCAAGTATTGATACTTGTAATTGAATTCTGAGATAGAACTTTCCATACATTTGTAATGCAGAAAGCTCTCTCATTATATGAAATTCACTTGGCAGATGAATGGTCACCACTTAGTAACAACATTAAATCCTGCCTTTCAGGAGTCAAAAGGACTGGAATCTGCTTCTGAGGTAAAATATTTAATCTATTTCATATCTCAAAATTCTATAGTCTGAAATTACTAGGTTGAGAAACATTTTGATAAATATTTGAGTACGTGCTGTGATTAATTTGTATTAGAATTGTACTTTGAACTAGTGTAATTCATGTTGGTAGGACACCTGATGAGACAGGCTGTGATCCTGAAAAATGCTCCAGGCAAACCTACAATGAAAATTTAGCTGCTTTGAGCAATTTTCAGGACTCAGAGGTAAAATTTGATATAGTGTAAATAAGGGTGGCAGAATGAAAATAAATTATGCTGCAGCTAGCCTGTTTTCCACAGCTACAGGTTTGGGTGGTTAACTCTTTTTTTTTTTTTTCCCCCTACTTTTTGCACTTGTATAGCTTAATTTAAAAAAATCTATTTATATTTGGTTCATGTGCAGCTTTTACCCTTCTTGTAATTAAACAGAAAATGTTGGGAAATCAGTAATTTTAGCAAATATTCTTTTTTCAGTGCCCAAAACTTTTATGGCCGGATAAATGTCATCAACTTTTATATAAAGATTTCACTAGTAGTTTGAGTCAGAAGAGAGAATTTAGGAAATTGAAGTTGGTATGTCCTAATACTGAAACAAAGAACAAGATTTGCATATTTTTGTTCATAGACTCATCCATTGTTCAAGTCCTGTGTTTATCTGTAAAAGATGAGAGGAGACCACTCTAGGCTGCATTGATAAAAGCAAGGGCAAAATATGGGGACAAAAGTCAGGGGAAAATAACTAATCTTTCCTAATCTGTTCTGAGTTTGGACATGCAGACCTCAAATACTCTAATTTTTGTGAAAGTTTCTTCTTTGGTCCCTCAGCTATTAAAAAACATAATAATGTAAGACCACAGGCTTTCTAAAGATTATTTTTCTAAATAAGTTATTCTAAATTCAGATTATACTCACTAGATCCTATATTTTCTGAGTTGGCAGGAAGTTAGCCACAAAACTCACATTTAAGTCAATGGGAGTTACTAAAGTTGGTGGGAGTTGTGTACCTTGGTGTCGTGTAAACTCTGTGATTTTCTACAAAAATAGCAATCAAAATAGTGGTGGTAAATATGAAGTATCAGAGTAGATAATATATGAGTAAATGAGCCAAATATCTAACAAAATGAAAAACATGATGGAAAAGAGGAGGATGAAAAAGAGATGACTGAAACCACTGAGTTATGCAAGACTCTAAAGAAGACTTTGTAGGGCCTTGGCAAATACAATTTCTTGAGAAGCTGAGGGAAAATTGGAAAGAAAGCCATGAGGAACAACTTCCTGCTGAGATAGAAGAGGTTTACTTTCAGTGCTGCACAAATGCATCCCAACAAGTACAACAAACAAAAATAGATTTCCTGATATAAATGTTGTAGATTCAAGTTCTCTCTAATTCACTAAGATTTCAAACTTGTGTTAGAAAGTTTCAGAAGAGAGGGCCATTACCTACATTCCTTTTAATTTTACAAGATTCAGGTGCTTATGACCCTTATAAAATGTTCCCCAAAGAAAAATGGAGAAAAGCTCTCTCCTCAAAAGCTATTTAGAAACGATCTTCCAGAAAAACAAGCCAATAAATAGTTGTTGATAAAAATATCTTGGAAACATTAAAGAAAAGGCAAAATTCTGCAATGGATAGGAAGAATGATAAATGTTACCAAACAAAGCTCACTGACTGTTCATATCCATGCAACCGTTGAATAGAAGTGTGTTATTTTATGCCTGTGCTGAGACTGGGCCACAATTTCAGACTCTAGAGAAAACCAAAGTTAATTAAAGATAAATTAGAAGACTGTACTTAGTCTATAGAGATACGCAATAGATTATATTGCCAAATGAAGGCATTTTAAAGCTTTTTAGATCTAGGAAAAAAAATCATCTTTCAAAGAAATTGAGAAACAAGTCAATGTAGCTGATACAGCAGGTATTAAATTTAGATGCGCCATGAAAAGTTCCGATTTTTAGGGATGCTCTATTATCAGAACCTGTGAAGAGACATAAAAAATCAAGATATGAAGTTCTAACAAACAGTAAATGGACAGTATGCAAACCAGTTGAATTATGAATTGCTTACAGGTAACATACATGTTTATTGTGACATTTTATTTAAAAATTTTACTGTAAATGAAAGTGGCTTTATGCCTTAAAGAGCATTTATGAGCAGTGTTTTACAGTTGGTCATAATTGGTGATTTAATACATGGGCTATTGTTGCAGCTGTGTAGCAATTCAGATAAACAATTTGGTGTCACTGAGAGATTGCATAAGCTCTCTAAAGTAATGAAGTTGCATGTGAAAGTAAAAGATACCACTCTGAACACAAAGCAAAAGAAGCTACAAAACCCCCCAGAACAGCAGGAGAACACAGGTAAAGGTTTTGAATAGATGCCAAATACTAGAAGGTACAACAGAGATAAATAAAATACACGGTAAAGATGCAATATAATAAAACACTGTAATTTGGGCTGTCAGCATGAGTGTAGTGAGTTCAGAATAGAAGAAGTGAGTTAGCTTTTATGGGATATTTAACCACAAACTGCCAGAAACTGAGACTGCTGCTGGTAATACATATTCAAATACAGCAAATATGTCATTGGGAAAAATTATATAAAATCACACTATAAACTTTTTTTGTATTTCTTGAATTTCTGCACAAGACATCTGCAATTTGCCTTTTGCAGGCTAGACAGCTGGAGAAGTGGTAGCTTCTGTGCCATTTCCCACAGTATCATGGGAATAATTATAACTACATTTACATAAGGTGTCCCTGTGCACAGCAAGGGCTTGGAACTAGATCCATAAGGCCCCTTCCAATCCAGGCCATTCCATGATTCTGTGGTAGTAAGAAGACTTATTTTGGACATGAACAAACTGAGACAGGTTCAACAGTTAAGAATTCACAACAGTTCACAACAGTTAAGAATTTTTAGGAATACCTCCTATCACATATTTTTCCGAGTGTTGTTAACTGAAATGTACAACCAGATCAGAGGAAAAAGAATTTTTCTTCTATCAGTCCATCGGGACCTCTGAAATTGTTTGGGTATGTGGAGAAACTATGACAGATGTCTGTCCAGTGCTTCAGGACAGCTGTTTTCCTGTATTTTGCCAGAACGGTTTCCTTGGAGCTTTGTACCACTGCGTATTGGGATTGTCTGGCCAGGTTTTGGTTGCAGGGGGGCTACAAGGGTGGCTTCTGTGAGAAGCTGCCAGAAGCTTCCCCCATGTCTGGCACAGCCAGTGCCAACCAGCTCCAAGCCCATCAGGGATGACAGTAACACCTCTGTGATAAGGTATTTAAGAAGGAAAAAGAAAAGTTATTGCGCAAATGAAAATTGCAGCCAGAGAAGAGCAGAGTGAGAACATGTGAACAACTCTGTGCCACAACTCTGGTGTCCAACCAGGGTCAACTCACTACACACTGGCTTTTTAACCCGTTGTTATGGCTTAAGAGCTACAGAGGATAATATCTATAAAAGTGTCAATTCCTGGCCAGTGCTGCTTGCAAGGCTGCAGTGCTGTCTTACAATTCTACTTCAGAGTGCTTCCTCATATGTAATGATTGCTATTCCAGTGTCCTGTGCTTTGGAAATGGTCCAATGCAAGTTAAAGGTTTTTACCATCCTCCCCCAAGTACTTCATACCTTCTTAAAACATTATTTTTGGGTTGGTTGTCTGGTCTGATTTCCAGTAGCACAAAATGTGGGTCTTTCATATTGCTGTTCCAGTCATCATTCTTAACTGTCTCTCAGCTTTTCCCATTATTTTTGTTTTTCTATATTCGATTTTTCGTAGCTTTATTAAATTAGTTGCCATCATGCAGTTCTTAATAATCTCTTCCTCAATGCCATTACTATTCACACAAAATATTAATCTTGTATATGAAGAGGCAATAAAGGTAACTGTAAACCAGGATTCTATACATTTCTTAATGCAATTCCTAGTTTATTTCCAACCCAAAACCAACAATGAAAAGCAACTAATTAGCAGATTGTTCTGCTATTTTAACAAAATAACTTCTGGGAAAAATACAGGGTTTAGAATAAAATGTTTTAGAATAAAGCCACCATTCTTTATTTATTGTTCAATAAATTTTCTGCAAATTTGTAGATATTTAGTAATCTACTGGAAAGGTTTGCCACCAATTCTAGCTTTTATCCCAATTTTTCTGTTGTTCTGATGATGTTTGATGAGTAAATTACCCGCTACAAGAAGATGTTTGAGAATCAAAGACAGTAAGTAGTGAAATCTCCCCTCTTTTATTAATTTTAATTATTATTTTAAAAATGATTAATTTACCTAAAATATATTATTTATTAAATTCATTAATCTAATATAGCTTAATAATTAGTATCGTTCATTATCAGGTTTTTTTTCCTGGAGAGATATATTTTATTTTGATTGCAGTTTGACGTAAGTTTTAAGTAATTATTTAGGTGTTTTCTGTTATTTTCTATATTCTTTACGGTTTTATATGCAGTTTCAGAAATATAGTAACTTTCTTCACCTGTTTCAGGGTTATACCTACTGATTTCTCTCTTCCCATTAGACACGTGCTATGTTTTCATAGGAGCTTAGTTCCAAGGACTTCTTCATTTTCTTCTGTGCTGTGTTTTTAGTAGTACACATACTTGTGTACCTCTTGTACAGTAACAAGAAGAGCAAAAGTCTGTCAATTTTCACACCTTGGTGATAGAAATTAAAAGTTTTTCTCCTTAAAAGAAACATTAAGATGCTTAGAACAGTGTCTTCATTTTCAAGCCTGCAATTACTAATGTATCAGAGATGAAATTTAGTATGTTCTCTGTTTCTAAAGCAATAACTCTGTTTCTAAAGTAATTAGAAAGTAAGGAAACATTTTTCCACACATACTGAAATTAGTCAAATGACTTAGGAGGAAGCTGAGCAAAAGTCAAAATAAACCTTAAGTGGATTTTTGCTGATCTTCTCAAAAGCCATGGCTTTTGGAACATTGCTCATTTTCACGCATTGTCAGGTTTGGCACTTCTGGCTTTGAAACAAAACCAAAATTAGAATTATTGAAAAACCATGAGACAAGCAGTTTTTCAAAGAATTTCTAGCTTGATTACAAGCAGATTTTATGGGAATTTAATGATTTGGTTTATCCTGAGATTTACTGTACCATTCGGAGGATTTGTATTTTGCCAATCCTTCTGGCAAAAATGCAGGCTTTGGAAGGAAAATATTTTTAAATTCTCTCTTTACAGATCAAGTTTGTAATGATATCTATTGCCTGTGTGGAAATGAGACATTCAGGATTATGAAAGATCTCTTCTCCCTGCATTAGGATTTGAAGAAGGAGATACTATAAAAAGGAACTTGACAGTATAGCAATAGTAGCAGGAAACTGGCAGATTTTTAAAAAGCAGATGCTCTTGTGAACCGAAACACAAGTTCTGGAGGCTGCTGAAATGTTCATGAGAAATTTAAAAATACTTGAAATCTGAACACTTTCTCATCTTATTTCATTGAAATTCAAATTATGTTAAACTTCCAGTATAAAATGAGCATGCAGATGCTTAGAATTTTTTTTTTTCTTCACAACCAAATTACCTTCTGATGAAATTCAGTGAAAGCAAACCACTTAAACTTTAGACAATAATTTAACAGGCCATATCCAGTGGAAAATAATTACAGCAGAGATTGCATAGATGTACAAGACAGCTGATGTAGCCAGTGACATTTTGGTTCTATTTCCTGTCTCTAAAAGCTCAGATCTGCACAATCTTACATAAGCTATTAAAGGTATACTTTGACATGCATGACAAATATGGAAACGTGCTCATAAAGTTCCCATAGGATGCTTTTTCATTTTTATAATCCATTCTAAGTATCCTCCTCATTGAATTTTTTTCCTCCTGATTTCTCTAATTTCTGTAGGGATCATGTGGAAGAGGAGGAAAATTTCTGCACAAGGTCTAACGAAACTTGTCTTCTTTAAGAAAAATATAAAGAAAGGGCAATTGGTTGTCTTGGCAGTTACAGCAGAAATTAGATTTCACAATGCTCTTAAAATAAGGGTCCAGATGTGCATGGTGACAAACCACATGAGATCTGATAAATCTCTTCTCTTCATGAGCCTCATGACTATAAAACAGTCTTCATTTGTGTTTGCAGCCCACTATTTTAGTGACATCCATGTTTATTGCTGAAGTTTTGCCAAAAGAACACCCTACAGTTCTCCAGGCTTCAGAAAAGCCAGTGGAATTCCTTAACAATAACTGGACTTGCCTGCAGCCAGCATAAGCCTCATTCTTCCTAAGCAGATGAATGTTTCACAGAGGGGGGAATGAAACCATCGCTATGAAGCACCTGAGACTCCTCTGTCACCAAGTGTAACTTATTCCAGGAAGCCCTTGGCTTAGAGGCAGAGATTGTGGATCTGAAGCTGATACCTCTTCAGTCACTGAGAGTGGATTTGGGGGTTTATGTGCAGCTTATACAATGGAATACCCTTGACTATCACCATAAATGTTTCTGTTTGTTTAAGTTAGAAAATGGATGTGATGCGCTTCATGAAAACATACCGGTGACTGCAGGCAGTTTAAAATGGTCTTATGAGTTACAAGAAGCTTCTCAGGCATGGAACACATTGTCAGCACATCAATTATCTGTAAGTATTGCTGTAAAACAGTGTACAACGGGGCTTAAAATATTTCAGGCACTTTCTGAAGTGATAGCCACATTGTGCACTTAGAAATGACATTGAGATAAAATCTGTCTCTATAGAGTTTTGCAGGTAGAGGAAACAAATCCTGTTTTGCAAAAATATGGATATTGTAATATAGGTATTGATATAGTGAAGAAACTGACCTCTGCTAGACACAGGACCTACACCTTCTCTGTGCCTCAGACCTCAGTGTAATAATTCTCTGGAATTTGGATGGTATGAAGTAATTTATTCAGAAGGTTACAAGTAGTCAATTTCACTACATGACATTAAGGATTTCTTTTAATTGTTTTAGCAATTATTTTGTTTTGTGGTAAAAGTTCTCTTTCATTCTAGAGAGAAGCACAAGGTATGTATCTGTTTTCATGAATTTTTACTTCAGGGTGCAAAAAAGTGTAACCATATTGTGTGTTTGTATTATACACGTTCCCTGAGGAGTATTAGTGGTTTAAAATAAGAGAAATTGCATTTAATTTTCATATTTTAAAAAGGATTTTGTACATGGGATCTAAATGAAGAGACTAGAACTGCAGGATGGCAAAGACTTATAGCTCTTGCTTTCAGGAGACTGGTATAAATTCTGCTTCAGTAAATTCTGTAGTCAAGATGAGGTAACTTGAGATAGCTTTTTACTTGGTGTCTGATTGCCCTTTTCTAAATAACAAAATCTTTTGTGATTCTATATCTTTCTGCTGTTTCTCCGAGGGCTGTAATATCTTGAGATTTTACAACATCCTTCAAACACCAAGCAGTTGCACTGCTTTCATATTGCAAGAGGCACACTAGGTAAATAAAGAAGATTCTTTTTGACAGATGTATGTGAATATAAAAGCATACTAGAAAATTGACATAACCACAATAATCTCCTCAAATCGTCAACTACTCTAAACTAAAACCAAACTGTTTTCAACTATTTTTTGCAATTATCTTGTCTGTGGGATGGTTGTTAGTCTGTTTATAGTCTGTTTATATTCAATCATAAATTGTAGTCTTATCAAGTGTATGTATACTTTTCTTTGAATACAAAAGGGTGACCTCTAATGCATTCATTTATTAAAGGCATGTACAGAACTAGCTCCTCCCATTAGGAAATTTATGGAATCAAGCATAAGTGGTTTGTGAAACTAGTAGAGGATGATGAAAGTTTTCTTGCTAGGCTGTGTAGAATGCTTTTCAGGGACTGGAATAAAATCCATTGTTGATTTTAGTCCAGTTCTCAGAGATGTATTTTGACAAAACTACTGTCATTACTGGGGTAAGTACTGCTTGGAAGCATCAGCCTCCCTCATAGAAACAAAGAAAGAAATTTCCTAATGGAACTTCTTCCTAGTGATGGAAATGGCATCTCAGGAACTGGGACGATATATATTGCATTCCTCTGTAAACGTTTGCATGAACCTTTTGAATCAAAGTTGTGATCTTAGATTGATTTTAGTTAAAATAGTTCTAGTTTGCATATGGACAGCTGGTAAGACACACTTTCCAAGGATCTAAACATACTGTTATATAATAGGAACAAGCTGATATCATCCAGTTTTGAAACAGGGTAATGTCCTCATTGAGAGTTTTGCCAGTTTGGCTGCACTGTCCGTGAACTAAAATCTGAGTATTTCACGCAGAAGCTATGACAGAAAGACAAAGGAGGAACAGCAGTAAGAGAAACTTGTCCTGCTTTTGTCTAGTCATCCATCTCATGGAGAGCCAGAAATGTTCAGTTTTATAGTCTATCCTGGTACTTTTTGTTTACATTGAAAGCTCTGGTAATGTATAAATAGGATGCAGAATCTGCTGATATATAATAATAAGAAGGTCGAATCCACGGAGAACTTGGCAGATATTTTTAAAACTAGGAGTCTGAGCACATCTGATTTTCATTCTTTTCTCCCAAATGAAAAGATCGATGGTTTATTGCAGCATCACAGGTAAACTTGGGTTTGGTACGGAACTGACTGAACAAAGAAGGAAGAAATCTGTTTAAAAATATTTCTGATAACCTTAGAAAAATTAAGAGTTTTTTTTACTCTCCTTATACTGCAAATTTAATTACAAAGCTGTGCCAAAGGCTGTGGAAGACCATGCTGCAAAGCCAAATAGGATACATGAACTGGAGAGTACTGACAAACAACTGATGTTTGCCTCTAACTTGGCACAGTGCAGATCTCTACAAGTGTAATCAACAGGCAAGGAGACCTTGCTTAAAATGTGGATGGGAGAATCAGAATATTCAAGCATAATGTAAAATTGGATGTTGTGTAGATTGAGTCAAACACTTTTTTATCAAGAAAAAAATGGCAGAAGTCTTTTCTTCTATCCTTTGATTAAAAAAAGAGAATGAAAAGTTCAAACTATGGAGTATGATTCAAGAAACAGTAGAAAAGACTTACCAGATAGTCTACCTGACAGTAGATCTAGTGAATATTTTGTTCTGGGAGTAGCTATTGTCACTAAGTAGGTGTAAATACTTAGGTAAACCAGGATTAAGTAAAAGCTAAAACTGTTTTCAAATGTTTGCACTTGCTGATGCAAATCTAACTCCAAAGGGAAATAGTTTTCAGTAACTACTTCCAGATATACTTGTAAAAGTTACAATGAAAAGGTAATTATGTTGTAAATAGTGGGAATGCACTTCATCAAAGTGAGAGTTTCTTTATTCCTTGACTCAGTTAGCTGAAATAAGGAATACACATTGGAATGAGCAATTCTAAACCCCTGTTACTGATTCTCTAAATTACTCTTTCCAAGACAATCAGTATTTGCTCCAGGCAGATCCTCTTTCTGATGAATGGAAACTCTACACTGAATACATAGACCACATGATTGTAGATGGACTGTTCAAAGCTATCAAGTGTTCTCTTCAGTATCTGACTGAAAACATTGAGACAACATTTAACTCCACTCCTTTATTTGAAGTGCAGCTTTTTCCTAATAGCAGTGAAATGACTTTTAAACCTTCTTTGGACTTAATGTCAATGGCAATTTCTGTGGTATTATGGAGAGTCTAATCAAAACCAGCTATGATACTGCATCATCTGTTGACAGATTTGTCAAATACCTTGGAAAAGACCCTTTTCAGCTATTCTTACTTTTGCTACTTTTCCTTTTTTAATTTTTTTTTTTTCAAGTGTCACAATTGACCTTTCCTCCAGGCATTTGAATGTAGTTGTTTTCCCAGCCCAGTCACCATTATCCAGTGGCTTATGTGAAGAAGGCTAATATCTCCAGAGAGGCTGTGAGGTTTTTTCCCCATCTGTTCCCTGTGAGCTGTCATATTCTGCTCTCCTTAACCTCTGCCTCTTGTTTTATGAATTCATCCAGTCATTTCCATCAGCCAGCAGCACATATTCTTTGAGTGATACTGGCAAACTTTTTTTTAAACTTCTTCTGGTTCACTTGCCTAATTGAGAGTGCCTTTCTAATACACACTGAAACCACCGCTGGATGGACTGTCTGCAAATCTGGTTCATGAACTTGCCTTCTACTTTTGCTTGTGTACTGTGCACAGGTGGTCTTTGACTTTACAGTGCCTGTATTACTGAGCATTTGGTGTTAAATGACTTCTATATACTCCAGGCTGGGCATTTCTCAAGAACTGTGGGTTTCTTTGTGATTATTGGTTGAATGTTTGCTTTCTTGGTGCCTCATTTCTCATTAGGACAGCTGATACTGTTTCTGCTCCCAGATCTGCAAGTACCACTGAGCTTATTTATCCAGAACAATTTCCTTCCTTATAAGGTGTGAGGTTATGTCCACAGATGTCATGAAAAAAAGTGGTTTGTGAATTACAGTAGAACACTTTTGCTAGAAATGTAATGTTAATGCAAGTTTTTGTGCAAGAATACTCTTGCACAAAAGAGTCGGACTAGCAAAAAGTCACAGCCTAGCAGGCCGTGCAAAAATCTTTGTGCAATTTTTTCCTTTTGCAGGTCTGTTTTAACATGAGATGGAAACAAATATCAATCAATATATCAAAATATCACCACTTCTCTAGGGAAAAATAGATTAACTGTAAATTGGTTACACTGTATAATAGTGAAAAACACCCAAAATATAAGGTTGGACTCACTATTCCATTTTTGGAACTCTACTGAAAAGTGACACTGGTGATCATAAGGACCAGAATGCCAATCCATCTCACTAGCTAGTGTTGGAAGTTAAATCAACATGTTGGAGGATGTGAGTAATAACAAGTGCAATGTTTTGTGTCTGGCTGATGACAACATGTGCTTTGAATTTTTGATGTTAGTGTGATGCATGAAACAGAAATTATAATACTTGAGAAACATGCATCCAAGCAGTCATTCCTATTAACTTGTTTCAGGGGGCAGACAGGAAACTTAATGTTAACTGACAAGTTATAATTGTCATTGCCTCCAATACAATATTGTGGGTCTTGGCATGTGACTTAACTCTAAGGATGTCTTTTCTTTCTCTAGTTTAATCTTTGCCTCCACTGCTTTTTTACTTTTGGGTGTTCATTTAACATGACTTAGATCAGAGGGATACCCTGGAAGAAGTAAGTTGAGTGGCTCTGAGGAATGAAGAGTGGTACTTAATGGATTGATGAAGAAATTAGATGTGTAAAGTGGTTTCTGCTCTGTGGACAATTTCTTACTAAAGGGGAGGTGGAATTTTATGAAAATGATAAGGTTGTTGAGGTTCATGAGACTTCATGCATTCTAAAGGACAGGTATTTCCATTTTTGCCTATTATGCCATCTTATGCCTATTAACGAAATATAAATAATTACATTACTTTGTTGATTTGTTTAAAATCTAGTGTTCATCAAGTTTCATTTGGGTGGGGTTTTTTTTGGTTAATATTCTAAAGAACTTCAAGTGCACCTTCAAATCAGAATAATTTTTAATAGTTTCAAATCAAGTTGACAATATAATTAAATATGATTTAAATATAATTGGTGAATTTAATTTAAAAATTAACCTGAAAATTTAGGGAAAACAGCTTAGATTTAGGCAAGCTTCTCTAGTTTATGTTTCATACATATTTTTATGTATACATTCATAAACACAAATATATATATGTAATCCTTTTCTGCATATGTGTATATACATTTGTATTTATATTTATGTTAAGAAGGATGGACTGACCTATGAGACAATAGAGATATTTTGCAGACTTTTGTTGCCCTGCTGCCTTGGGTGTTTCCTTGGGACAATAGACCTAATGTCTTTGGCCTTACATTTTTTCTTGAAAAGCATCAAATTCTCAAAAATGCTGCTGTTTTTAAGGTGTTCGTAATATCTTAGAAATAGTTATTTCTTCTTTGATTGGTGTGGACTGTATTTTTTACTCATTATTGTATGAAGGATTTTTAACAATTCTGTCATCTCTGGTATAACTTTATATCTACAATGCATTTTCAAATGGCACTTTCACCATGCTGAAAAACGGTAGCAGGACTTTGTAGAGCATGAGAGCTGGTATCTAGATTGAAAATTAGCTGTTTGCAATTCTGAAGATCCATTCTCTGGGAGAAGAGCTCTTTGAAATTAGTGGCAATCCCGGATTCTTCTAAAAGATGGATGTGGATCACAGTGCTGTACCCATACCCTCAAATGCCCATCTAAAGTATTTCCCCCTGCCAGACAGCAAGCTCCTGCCCCCGATTCTGCAGCTCTGAGAACCTTAATAAGGTTATTACTTGAACCATGTGCAGTAGATGCAGAAGAGATGATCAGTGTAATTGAGTCCATTGTATTTCTCAAGAATATTTTGTCATACATTTCTCTCTTCTTTAAAAACAGGGGGAAAAAAAGAGCCCACCAACCAAGCCTTAACACCATGCTTCTATGTTTTATATTATTGAATTGACTTGTTCATTAACA